CGACAAACGTCATGATACAGGGCTGAAACTTTGACCATAACCATGGTTTATCAGTCCCAATATATTCTGAAAATTTCATGCCATTCGAACATTCTTAGCTTAAGATCGAATTTTAAGGGAGGGAGGACCTTAAGATCATGGAAAGATAGCCTATGATCTTATTTTTTATATAAAACCTAATTTTTGAAGATTTCTGTCATCTTCTCTTCGAAAAAATAAACTATTTTATAGTTTTTTGATCATACAAACAAGATTTCTCTGTTAATACATATTCAACATATTAAAGTTTCTAAGAGTATATCAAAATACAGTGCACTAAAGAGTTCTTTATTTGAAATAAACTTTGGAAGTCATTATATTTGTGATTTCCTTTTTTTTGCTTTGATGCATTGCAGTTTGATATTCTCTTTCAAACACAAAAAAAAAAAAAAGAAACATATAAATGTACTTTCATAATGTTATTTATTAATGATAGACAAAAATATTTTGTTATGACATGTTACTTGGGAAAATTCTTTTTCTTTTTTTTGATATGTTTTCCGTCTCATTGAAAATCTGAGATCTATTTATTATATGATAAAAGAAAAATATTTATATTATAAATTTTCATAAATAATATTCTATTAATACTTGAAGACATTTTTCTCATAAATATTTAATTATTCTTATACTCATTGACATATACACATTATTATAGAAATCTTAAATGAATAATTTAAAAAGTTCTTTGTTTAACCTACGAATAACTAATTAAATATTTTTGATAAAAAACATAAATTGATAAATGTCATTTATTTTTATTGTTACTATGAATAAAAATAAAAATAATTTCTATTTATACTCTACTAATCAAAAATTTTCTAAACTATAATATAATGATAATATCTATATAAAACATTTATTTTTTAACTATGTTAATTCTCTCAAGAGATTATATTTATATTTACCGATGAAATAATCGTGTAATATTATGATGGATATTTTTTCTTCCATCATGAAATGTATACATTAGATCATATACCAAAAACAAAAACAAAATATCTAATAGATTTTCTTTCAATAGAAACGTTTACAAATAGATAATAATTGATAATATTGAAAATATAAATTATTTTGTAAAAATTATATGTCAATTGGTTATGGTTGTTTTTGAAGTAGTATGTTGTATTCTCCTTATCATAATATAATGAACTTTAGAATATTTTCTTGTTTCTCTCTCTCTCGTTCGCTTCGTTTTGATCATCTAACAGACAGAAGAAGGAAAAGAAAAAAGGAAACAAATCTTTGACAAGCCACAGCTGTATTACTCAAACGTCAAAAAAATTATTATAAACTTCCTACAGATTTTATATTGCTTGTCAAAACAATAACCTAGTTGATGTATCTGTCATGCATTTATCTTGGTAGGTGTAAGAACGCGTCAAGCATTATAAATGAGACTTTTCCTTGTTTTTTACGAAAATAATGTTTGACTTTACACTGAAATAATCTATTATAATACAATAGTAGAATTTTTTTTTTTTCTTTCCGATATAAATCATAATATGAGTCAAATAAATCATTTTTTGTTTTTAATCTAAATCGACAGTTCAGTATGTAACCCAATTTTAAAAATCTTTATTCTATTTTGTTTTTTTTTTCTAAAAATAAAAAAACAATTTAACGCTTCAATTTTTTTATTTAAAAACTAAGTGAAAAAAAAGTGTATATTAACAAAAAGAAATGTTTTCAATTATTTCTTTCTCTAATATTATTATAAATGTTGTCGGAAATAAATATATTAGATTATATTTCAACGGATATGACTTATCAATGAGAAAAATTTATTTAACATATTGAAAGTATGACAAAATTCAAAGAAATATATTTTCATTATGCATAGAACTTCTTTTTTTTTGTTTTTTTTCTTCAATTTCATAGGAAATATAAAATTTCGTCAATGAATGAAAAGAAGAACAAAAGTTAAGTCATTCAATATTGATTTTCTATTTGAATACATTATAATATATTAATTTCAATCATCTTAATTATAATAAAAAATTTCTTTTATTATGTTCTCAAATATAATAGAGAAAGTCATTATTATTTTATAATATGACATAAATATTAATGAATATTCCGAGAACAAAAAAAATATAGATTAGATTTTATAGCAAAAAAAAAAATTATATTCATCTATTATAATGATTTTCTATATTTAAAAATTTTTAAGTAGCTTTATTTATTTTTAAAGCTCAAAATCTGATGGATAGACACAACATGTCAAACTTTTTTATTTGTATATAAATCATAATTAACAAAATTATTTTGATAATGTTGAATTAGTCGTCTTATATTAATATATAAAATATTATTTTTAAATTCTATAATAAATAAAATCTATATATGAGAAGAATGTGTGTGTGTGTGTTTTAAATCGATATTAGATTTCGGATTATTATAAAATTGCAATTCTAATAAATAAAATTATTTTATAACACTTGCCTACTAATGTATAATTCAATAAGTAATAAATCCATGATTATTGATTGATCCTTAAAAAACAAAAAAACAAAGCAATGAAGTACAATAATACCAATCTAAATGATAGGATATATATCTAAAAAAGAATGGAAATCTATTTTGTTTTTTGTTATTATTTCCTGTCAAATTGCCCGAACAACTTAGCTGTGTTGCATTCAATATCCGTTATTAAACCATTTGCATATTAATGACAAGCGTCAAATGACGATTCCTGTCGAAAAAAAATGTCTGGAATAAACATTTTTAAAGATCGATACATATATATATATATGTCTATATATGCATATAAAAGTTCGGCGACACGATTCATCAACAGTCGATCATCGTCAGTAATGATAGCGTACTAAACGAGATTCTTTCCATTTCTCTTTTAGACAAGTACATATCTCTATTGATGTTTTTATATCGGGTTTTCTAATCATGTTTTTCTAATTAAACAAAAAAAAAGAATATTGATTTAATATAGTAGATCAAATGCACGCACAAAACTATATCCATCAATGATAATTTTTTCCTATTACGTTCTTTATAGTAGATTCTATGACAGTTATCAATAACTTATAAATATTTATAAGAATTATTATTTTGCATGAATTATGTCAGTTTTTTTTTATTTATTCAACTTTTAGCAAATTATTTGTTAATGAATATATATTATATGTACAATATGATTTTTTTTTTTTTTTTTTTTTTTTATCTTATTCATATGCATATTAAAATTTTACTTAGTCATTTTCATTTTGCTTTTTATCAAATATACAAAGAATACATTAGTTGAATTTTTATTATTCTCTTGTCTATTACTATTCATTACATTAATGTTTAAATTGAAATATGTGGTCAATCAAGCGAAACTCTTTTCAACCGACGACATTTTTTTAACCTATACAAACGAATCGGACGATAGTTGATTTATTTCTTTCGCCCTTTTACTTTAGCATTTGTATGCTTGTATCTTTATACCGATTGTAAATGAAAAAACACACACAACACATACGATTGAGTATATGAAGATCATAGATACATCTTCTTCTTCTTCTTTTTTTTTTTTTTCTTCTATATAAAAAAAATAAAATAGTATATATTTCCTTCTCTTTACTTCAACCACGATAAGTATCAACACATACAAAACAATTATTCATGGTGTAATAAAAAGAAAAAAAGAAAAGAAAAATTCGCATGGGCAATAAGCGTAACCGTACTTAAATGTCATATATCTTATACGTACTCTCATTTATCATAGAGGAAAGTGAAAAAAAAACAAGAAAATAGTGTGACTATTTTTTCTTGGTAAAATAAAGTATGTATTCATTTATAGGTAGATATATATATATGTATAAAGATCGTTTGTAATACTCATACAGTCAATGAGTATGATATAAAGTATTTATATAAGTTTTTTTTTTTTTTTTTTTGCTTAATTATAACACAAATAATGTTATTCAGAATCAAATAAACTTAGATTGTTAAGATTTCAAATTGAATAAGAATTTTGTTTTTATTTTTAATGAAAATTTTCGAACGATATTTTTAGTATTGAGATGTCAAAAAATAGATTATTTGATGTTTTTCTGGTTTATAGATAGATTAAAAAGAAAAAACCATCAGTGTAATGTTTTATATCAGAATTTTCCTATGATTATATTTGAATGTTTGTATATTGAAAATACATGTTAGTTTGACTATAGTAAGATATTAAATATTTCGTGTCATTGAGAAAATCTTATTTTCATATAATTTTGAACAAAAATACAATCATTTTACTAATAGATAACTATGCATACAAAATAAAATCATTGTAATCTTTGATATTAGTCTATTTTTTAATGATTTATTACCGGTTTTTTTTTTTACTAATAATGACGCTTTGTATCTTCAATATAGTATTGTTCATAACTGTGCCTTGTATGGAAAAGTTTTAATCGATTTTTCTTTTTTTTTTAAATACTAAATTTTAATTATTAGAAATCGATTTTCGTACGGAATGACCTATATTGAATAGCTTATATTTTAAATCAATATTTTTTTGTTTGTTTTTTTTGCCACTGAAATTCAATTGGTAATTCCCTTCGTTTTTTTTTTCTTTCTTCGATATCGTTCTGTAGAGTTGAGCTTTGATTATTAATAGTATTCAAAACAAAAAAAAACTCATGTACTAAGTGAATATAGTATGTATTTATATCATCTATTGAAGTCATTGGGACTCCCCATTAGTAATAAATAGTCATGAGTCATTGACAAATCATATTTTTCATCCTACTAAAAATAGAATGATTGAAATATTAAGTATATAAACTTGTAGTTCAGGATAAGTGTAATAATCAATAAGTGATTTACACATAATTTATTTGTTCTATCAACATAAAATATTTACATTAGTAAAGCTTATACTAAAATAATATGATAAATATAATTTTTTTTTAGTTTAAACTATATTCTATTTTTTAAGATTTACTAAATAAATTTAATAATCAATTATGAGTTCTACAGATGTTCGATATCCTAATGAAAGTAATGTTGGTGCTTCATCACCCCCTGTTGTTACACCACATTATAATTCTACTCTACCAAATCCACCAAATGATCCATCATCAACAAGACCTACACGATGTGCTACTGGTGTACGTTTTTTTACAACAATTCATGGAATATTAAATATTATAATACTTGTATGTTAATTTTCATTTTCGTTTTTTTTTTGAAATATGATTTATTAATTTAAAATTTAAATAATTTAGATTGCACTTATTTGTGTAATAATAAGCGCTGGTGTAGCTGATAATGGAAGAATTGCTGATGATTTTGCTTCAAATTCAAGAGCAAAAGTTAGTGCTTTTCATACACGTAATGCAGTTCTTGTTTTTGCATCATTTGGTCTTGTTTTAATTATTGTTGATACAATTCTTCATGTATCTAGTTTAATATATCGTTTACCAACTGCATTTGATTTAATTGTAAATATGAAATAAATGTTTAAAAGAATAATTTTTCTTTTTCTTTTTTTATTTTCAAAATAGTTTATTATTATTATGCTTGTATTTGCTTTTATATATCTTATTCTTGGGTAAGATTTTTTTTTTTTTCTTAATCGAATTGAATTATATTATATAATTTGATTTTCCATTGAATAGATGTTGTTCAGCAGCATGGGAACAAAAAGTACGTGATATACCAGAACCAGCCAATCTATTAATACGTCATAAAGGTGCTGCTGCATCTGCTGCGGTAAATAGTTTGTTGAGTTTTTATTTATTTTATATAATTTTACTATTATTTAGTTCTTTTTATTTGTGGCTATGATTGTTGTTGCAATCGATTTTGCCTTACGATTAATCAATCGACCAGCACAAAGCTATACTCCGTAATCATCTTTCTGCTGTGCTTCCAAAAATAAAAAAAACAACACTCTATTGCTTTCATCACAAATAGATATAAATATATATATATACATATGATAATAATTCATTCGATTTTTTTTTGTTTCTTTTTAAATTCTATTTGTTTTTCTAGTTCTTCTATCATAAATAGAAATGCTTATGATATGCATATGAACACGGATGGTTCGTCAAAATTTTAAAGCATGGGTTTAGTTCTTTCGTCGATATATTATATGTTTTTTTTTTTTCTTTTGATTTTATATGACAAATCTTTCCTTTTTTTTTTCTTTTTTTCTTTTCTTATCCAAGAAATATAAATAGACACAAAAAAGAATATAATTATTTATGATGTCAATATATTATGAATTTCGATTTGTTCTTTTGACAAATGAAAATTATTAAAAGACCTGTGGTTTTCATTATTCGAAAAGAAGGATAAATATTAAAATAAAAAATTCGATTAACACTAGTAGAGTCGAATATTCACAACTCAAGATAGTTTGAATTGATTAGTGAGTTAGTTTAACGAAAACTTTCAGAATAAACTACACGGATTAGTTTTGTGTAGATCGACAGAAGAATGTTAACCGTTGATTTTTGAGTACTTTCACTTTCAGGATATTAAAAAAAAACATATCCAAAGCATTTTATTTTAACGTCAAAAAACCGCTTAACTGTCTAACTTTCATAAGAAATTTGCATTTATGTTTGTCATTTGATGCTGGTTGTGTTTACACACACAAAAAAACAAGTAACGCTCGTCCATGTGACTCGCTTGATCCTCGACTGTAAATTAGGCCCTTTGATATTTTATAGTGCTTTACAATCTTCAACACAGCTACTATCCAATATTTATTGAATGAATGCCAGCAGCCTGAAGCCTCCCTTCAAGGGACTTTCTAGTGCAGCGGCTCGTCGTTCGTCGGCGCCCGAAAGGGGCGCCACTCACAGCTAGCCGCTGTTATGTTTCATTCTTTTTCTCCACAAAGTAATTATTCTTTATTCACGTTTCGCCTAATCCCAAACTCGGCTTACTCCGAAAAGTAACAACATATCATATTCAATTTTTTCAGAGGTCACGTGGGAAAAGAAATTCACAACAGTTATACGAAAACGAAGAATACTCTTTGAAAATTCTACTAGACATTAATATACATTCTAGAAAATTCGTCGGTAATGCTGCTGACTATAGACTTCTCTAGAAAACTAGGAACTGAGCAGAACCCCGTGTTTAAAATAAATCATGTTATACCTGATCTCTAATAGAAATATCATACATACGATAAGGTCTTATTCAGAGAAGTGATAAGATTAGGCAGGTAATTTCAATATATCCGTATACATTCAGACAGTTCAATTAATGCAAATAAAAGTAAATACCAAGAGAAACACTCTTTATTTCATTCATGTCAACTCTCAATAGAGCAGATATAAAGTCTTTCAGCCATGTTTTCTGTCGGATGAATTATTCAGATATTGTGTCCAAACACAAAAAAACGTTTCTCATCCTTCTCTTGACATAGTTCTTTCAGGTTTTTGTATCTGATATTCCTTATTCAGGTCGATTAGATCCAGACTATTGACGCTTATTCAATGAATCCCAACACATTGAAGCGGCATTTCTGAAGATAATTCAGTGCAGCAGCTAGTCGCTCGTCGGCGCCACTCGCGGCTAGCTGCTGCTGCCTCTGACCTTCTTTTCCCATGAGATGCTTCTTTTTACTTAAACCCTATCGAATGTCAGATTACTCTTAGTTAAAAAAATTGTTGAGTTTAGAACGGGATTGCTCCGGATGAGCTATTCGGAACCGACACTTTCCTCTTATTCATTCCTAATTTCTTTACCCTGATTGTTTGGCCAATACGTTAGAATTTTATTAGGGTTTCTGATTTGGGGGAATCTTAATTGGTTATTCTTGATACATATAGGTTTCACATAGATCTTTTGTTAAACAATATCAGAATACGTTTGCAATATTATTCGCCAATTGTTCGTCACCATTTCTGTCAGGTCCTGCTCATACTCACTCGCTGCATTATTTGCACAAATTAAAACAATCATTGGTTATTCT